TATATATATATATATATATCACAGATATATTATGGTAATAACCATTAACAGCATATGGCAATTGCATATAACTAGCTCTATCACACGTTTTTGTTTTACAGTACAGGTCGGTTATTATTATATTAATATATATGCTAAAAAGCTAAAATAATGGAAATGGCAGCCATTTTAAATTGTAATAGCTCAAAAATGTGTACAATATTTAGTTAACTGTTGTTGTCATTGTTATGAGTGAATTTCCAATTGAATGCTGCATTTTAATGACGTAAACTTACAATATTAGTGGCAATTTTAGGAAAAATGGCGGCCATTTTGAAACTGCTGGCAACCCCCCTTACGTATGAAAAAAAAATGTTGCACATACTTTTTTGATTTATCAATGTCTACTCTACATCATATCCAATTTTTTTTAAATATAGCAAAAAAAAAAATGCAACCTCTGATATTGCTACATTTCGGACTGGACTAATATCTTAATTTCTTTCTAAATAGAGTAATTTAAATACCATGGTTAGAGTAGAAATTAAAGACCAAAGACCACGGTTTGGCAAACCCAACTGAAAATTTGCCTTCGAATAAAAATTTTCTGAATATATAGTGATTTCTATGCAGTTTATTTAAAAATGATGATGATATGACTATAGTTACACATAAAAAATAATACACGACGTAAATTAAAGATGATGTTTTGTTATGTTGAATAACCTACCGATAGATTTAGTAGGACGGTGACGTTACAGATTGTCCCCTGAAAATGACAAAAAATAAATGAAATTATATATGTTTTTCTTTAATTGGACCATTTGTAAAAACATGCTCTGCATGAAAAATGCCGTCCATGTTAAATATGTTACAATACAATAACCTCTGCAGTAACATACAAATTATTAATTTGAGCATAGCAATTATTGAATTTAAGGAATATTACAAACTGATTCGTAAAGATCGTCAAAACTAAAATGGTGGTGGTGTTAGTTTTTATAAGGGATAGTTTACCTCATAATGAAAGAATCGACCTTTTTAAATGATATTGAACCTGTAAATAACCGTCAAAACAAACAGTGTGTTGTATATATCGGCCTTTAAAAATGCCAAGCATAAATACTTCAGTAAATATTGTTGATTTGCTTGCTGAGAAAGTTACGGTACTTAAAGAGAACACAGTAATTATGTTAATCGGTGGACTTGAATATTGACTATGTTTTAGATGAAAATGTCTCGGTTTTAGAGACTACAAAAAATTCGATTGTATCCTTCACCTGAACCCCTTCATGGGGAAAAGATTCCCTGGATATCTAAATAAATCTACGCCTACCCCTAATTGATTTCAAGTCTTCAGACGTTTTCTCAAAGACGACAAATTTTGTAGGCGCCAATGCTTTAAATAGAATTAGGCCTACCCTATGCTTGGTTTCGTCTGACATGCAAAAACATTGAAATTTGACTAAAATGGGATCTCTCCTCTCTAAAACCTTTTTCTTGGCCGCCGCTGGCCTCGCCCACTTAAGCGCGTTTTCCATGCAATCGTTCACCCTATCGGCGACAGTCGCCGACAGCTGTCGGAGGGTTGAACCTGGTTCAACTTGGCCGATTGCATTGCAGACGAATCAGGTTGTATTGCTTGTTACTCAGACCATGCTCAGACGCAATCGGCGGGGCCAGGAGAATCCAAAAACCCCCTCCCCGAGTGGGTCTAGGGGAAAATCACTGAAAACTCCGACAATTTAGGGATTTGAAAGGCTTACTTAAATGATTTTAGAGTTGAATATTTTGTAAAACTTACAAAGTTTTTTTTCTCCACGGCAGGGACCAGCCCTGGTCCCCCTGCCCATCTTTCCCGCCATTACTACGAATCTCCTTTGAGCAAACCCTTTTAAATGACCAACCAAACCAACCCAAATGAAATTTACCATGTATACATGCTAGAATGTTCCAAATCCTGAGGCCTATTCCCCTCCCTTCCCATCATACCCCTTCTCTTGAACTCCCATGGGGAATATACCGTATTCCTCTTGGCTCTCATAAATAGCTCATATATATTCCTGGCTTACAGGCCTTTAATTTTTTTTTCTCAAATTATGTAGGTTTACGCTTGAAAATTATCGTATCTGTGAAAAATCAAAGTTTTCACCATATTTCAGAGGACACTCGTGCGCATCGATTGATACCAAATAATTGTGTTATTTTTGTTGATGACTTTTACCTAAACCAACCAGACTAAAATGTCAACAACAGATTCAAGTACCGGTAAGTCATTATAACTAAGTGCATAATTACCATACAATCATGTAGTGGGTTGGTGGGGAGGGGGAGACTGGACCCGTTATGGAACAATTCATATTTAATTATAAATTTTGGAAAGTTCATATGCTTAATTCTCTATTCATGTGGTTTGTGTTGCGTCTGATGTGAATAGCTACTTTGATTTTGCGTGGTTGCCATAGAGACTCTCGGCCGAGAACATTTACTTCCCAGTTTGGTATGTGGTCATGTTGAGTGACAAGATCGGTGATGGCTGATTTGTGTACAGTGTTGGCAGTAGATGTTCTTGTAGCTCTTGTTCGAACACCTCCCGTGTTGTTATTGACATCAGATTGGTGTTCTTTGATACGCGTTTTAACTGGTCGCTCGGTTTTACCTATATAACAAATAATAAATAAATAAAATAATAAATTTACAATTTTCGCCTCATATTGACAAGGTTCACTGATAGTGGTCGAAACGTTGTAATGTAACTTTACCATTTTACAAATTGGTTCAACTAAAATGAAAAATATTTTTCTTCATCATATTGGAACTAGATGAAGAATTAAAATGGTGTGTAATTGTGAGGGTAGGGTAATTATGGTAGGATTAAATGGTATCGCTAAATCCTACAAGCCTCCCAAAACACACTGTAGAAAACCAAACAATTCAATTGTGATTGACTCACTTGGTATATCAATAAGAAAATTAAATATTCATAAGAACCTATTTTTTGGTTAAAATGTTGATTATTTTTGTGTGAAAAAATACTTGCAAATACACCACAAACCTCCAAACACACCGCGAACCCCACCCAAACCCTTTAATTATGATTGTAGAACTCTCTCTTTTTTTTTAAAATATAATTTGATGTTCATATCAACCCATTGTTTGTGGGTTTACCAATACCCGGATTGAATTTCTGGAAAATTGTGATTCCGCTTCCGTGAAATTGACAACAAATAAATTATTTTAGTATTAATAAATACATGATTTATGTTGATTTATTAATTATTTTGTTGCTATTTTTTTTAACATTTAAATGGAAAAAAAATAAAAAGTGTTATTCATGGCTTTTTTATCTTTGAATATTTTATCAGTGAATATGTAATTCCTGCAAAAAGTAAAATGTAAATGGCAATTTATTTGATGTTGGATTCCTTTTAAAAACTAAATTATTTCAGTTAAAAAAGATGTAATGATTAAAAAAAAATCAGTTTTAATACGGAATTTTATTATTGGGGCCATTTTACCTACCTGTCATTTGGGGCCAATTTTACAGGGGCCATTTTTCCGGGGGAATTTTTTCCTGCGCCGTTTTTACCGGGGCCGTTCTTACCGTACACCAGGAATATTTTATCTTTAATGACGTTGATATTAAATTACACTTAGTTTTGGAAGGAATATAAGATTACGAATTTTTAGATAATACTGTTAAAATTGCTAAAGTATTTGATATAATCTGTTAGACTTATGTTTAGAAGGCATGGAACCTTAGAAATGATGTACAGCGATCAATCTAAATTTTCTTTAATGTTGATTTAATGCACAATTGAGCTACATTGTTGTTGTTTGACAGAGCTTCTGTTTTTATACAATTTATATTCCGTATTTAATTTTGTTTTCCCATGATTGTTTACTGTTTGCTTATCATTTATTTTTATTTATTTATTTAGTTATTATTTATTTTTTTATTTTTTAGTTTAAAATGTCACTTGGCGTTGTAACACTGGATGAGTTCTTGCGATGCACAATGTGGATGGTTCTCGGAGGGTAGACAGTGAGTGGTTGGGGGCGGGGGTTCTCGGCATTTCGAATTGCATGCCTCAGCCGCCTTTTATTCATCAGGTCTTTGTTTGGGTTGTCTGAATGGTATCTCGCAAGAATTCATTTAATGTTAATTACTTTATTTTGTTTCAATTTCATTTATTTTGTCTATGTTTTTTATTGGATGCACACGGGGTTGTGTGCCGCTGTTACAAAAGTGTCATTCCAAATAAATTATTATTATTATTATTATTATTATTATTATTATTATTATTATTATTATTATTATTATTATTATTATTATTATTATTATTATTATTATTATTATTTATTATTATTATTATTATTGGCTTGAAAGCTGGGGTTAACCACACCTAATCAGTCCTATTCATTAATATAGACATTGTAGCAAGGATCTGGTTACTTTCTGATTTTAATACGATGAATTGTCACAATGTTCATGAACAGGAAAAATCAGACTGTGTGAAGCGAGCGAACAACAACAAATTCCAGGTATTAATAATGTTAATAACCAAATCAATCGGCTCTAACAAGCTTTACAAACCTTAACTACTCTTAACTAAAAAAAATATTAATTATCCAAAATTGCAGGCACTTCATCAGCCAATGGGCTGTCAATAAAGTTCAATAATGTGAACTTGCTGTCGGACCGTTAACTTGTACCCATAAAACCCTCCGTTTCCACAATCGGCTTCATTGCTCTTATTCCGTTCCGTTTCCCCCCACAAATTCCGATTCTCACTCGACCAATCCGTTACACGATCGGTATCTCAATACAATTCCAATATCGTTACTAATTCGGAATCATTTAAACTCTCTGTATCTTTACAATTTTGGTATCGTTTCAACTCCCTGTGTCGATACAATTTGGTATCATTCCAACCGAGCTCCAAATACTGTTTTCATTCACAACTACAAGCTTCATTTGTTTCATGATATCATAATTTAATAGAAAAACTCTATGCTATAAATATATACAAACACATTTTGAACGTTTAAAGAAGAGGAATCTATGGGTGTGAAAAATAGATCCCCCAACCGGCCCTCCGAACGCGGGACACGGCATCTGTTGCTGTCTATGCCATAGAAAGTCTGCTTTAAATCATAGTATGCTGCGTATTACTGTACATATAAATAATATAAACAAAATACGCAAATGTTAGAAATAGTATAATATACCATTGTTTATTCGGATTTCTTTATTTCTGCTATTGCTATGACTTTTAATAGGAATGTCTGACATGGAAGAGAAGAAAAATTTTCTTCGAGTAGTAACTGCTTTGAATTCTGAAGGAAAAAAGTGTTTGCGACGTTTACTTGACAACTACTTAAAGCATCACGATAATAATCTTTTGGACTACTATAAAAGTATAAAAGAGGAAAGAAGAGAAAAGTTCGAATATCTAATCGAACCATCCGTCATAAAAAATTTCGACATCACAGATTTACATGCTGCTTTACGTTATGTACATGACAAGAACACGACATGGGAAGGGTGGGGAGAGGGAGAGAGCGATGAGATGTTCAAAGCTGCTACAAATATTAAGAATATGCGCAACAGACTATTTCATCTACCCTCTGAGAATTTGAAGTATGACGACTTCAAGGATATTATGGATAAATTGAAGGAAAACATCATTAAGTTAGGTGGTGAGGCTCAAGTAGTTGACGATTTTAGGAATGAACAATTTGGTTCTCCTATAGTCATACAAGCGTTTCTGGAAATAGTACATGATTCTAAGAAGTATTTTGAACAGGAGGAAAGACGTGAGTATGCATTCTTAATATAGAATTCTTAATAAGAAAATCAAAACAACGGTAATGGTCACACAACACATTGAACAAAATTAACATTGAGTATATTCAGATTACTAGCTTGCTCATCACTTGGAAATTTGAAGCAGAGGCGGGTCCAGGGAGAAAGGGACTGTGCCCTGAAAAAGAATAGAAAAAAAGAGAGAAGAGAAGGAAAGAGATTGGGATCACGGTAGTCTTATTCCAACAAGCAAACTTTCGATTTAATATCGAAGTGTCTGTGGTCAAGTATTTCTGAACATAAATCTTACCCTCGGTCCTTCCCCCTCCCCCGGCACTGTGCTTTGCACGTCGCATTGCCCCCTACCCGGATTCCCCCATAGTCGTTTCTTGGACAAAATGAAAATTTATCTTAGTATTTTTTTAATTATATGGATTGATAAACTATTATTAGCACTGGCATTGATTTACCAACTTTATGCTTCTTAAATTTTCATTGAAGATGCCTAATAATAGGCCTATCACCCACCATAAAATATATATTTAAAAAAAAATGAAAATGGGAAAACTCGGAGCCACAGTTCCTATCGCAAAAAACTGACAAATATGTTGTGAACTGAGGCGATTTAACCTCTCAATTCTATATAGTAACCTAACACACACAAATTCGATTATAATGCTTATTATATTCATCTTTGAATTGTGATGATATTTTGATATTATTCAGCAATATGTTGTCATCATCATCCTCCTTTTGTTTTTGTATAAATTATTGTTTGAAAAATAAAATTCTTTCCAGATGATAGATACATACAAGAATCCGTTGACGTTAGTCAGTCATTCCGTAAGTATTTCATTCTGAATTTTTAGCATTATTTAATGAATACGAAATACGTCAGCTGTATAATGTTTGTCTCCGATGCACATTATTCATTTGACATGTGAAATATAGGCATAGGTCTAATCTATGAGTTATTTATTTAGTTTACTTGCCCTGAATAAAATTTACATAATAATAATTATATTAATAGAAATAACTGTCGCATGCCTTAGGAAATAGCACCTCTCATAGTATTTGAAACAGGGCAATACAAACATGCTTTGTAGAATCAAATTGCTATCACATGAGTAAACCTTCATATATTTTGTGTGTGTGTTTAAGCCTCTGGAATACAGTCATTAAACATATCGGCGCTGGAAGTGATGCAGAATAGCTCGATTACATTTTCAACGACACCACGAAGTAAATTTTGAATTTTACTATTATTTTTAGTTTAATATAGGGCCTAATGATTTCAAAGAAATTTAAAATTGAGTTCTATGCCGTTTCTAGTACAATATAAAAAAACAATAGATAATTTATTTAATAACTCATTAACTTTACTTCCAATAATACATAAATTTGTTTTAAATTTTTTGCTGATTGCATATATTTAACTAATAAAAATCATTAAACTGACTAGGCCTACCAGCCAGTTTAGATATAATTAAAAGTCATTGATTTAATTGTCTATTAAAAACAGAATTACAGCTCGCCCTCCAATTCTAGAGCACGTTTGGGACTGAAAATGTGGGGTGGACTCGGTTCTATCGAGCACATTTTGATCATAATGTAATCATGTTTTAACAATCCAATTCTAGAGCACATTTGGGACTGAAAATTTGGGGTGGACTCGCTTCTATCTCAGTTCAACACAGATAGTATAGTTTTAAAAACATACATATAGGCCTATGATTGACAGGTGACGTCAATTGATCATAATGTAATCATGTTTTAACAAGTATTGATAAACTAGTTTTAACGACCTGCTCATATCATTTGTTTATCATTTATTTTTATTATGTTTTATTTTTGTATGTTTAGGCCTATACCTAATGAAATGTTTATACAATTTGTTTTTGCAGATGTTAACATTTCACGCATGCGAATTGACAGAGAAAGCCGTGCAAACTTTGCCAATGAATTAGTACAGCCGCATACCAAAATATCAGTGCAACGTCAAGGTTTGAGAAATTTTAGTTAAAAATCAAAAAGTTCATGCTTTAACTGAACGGTATAAACAACGGGCCTCGGATGTCAAATAGCCAGGTGGCAAGAGGCCGGGTAGCACCGGGCCTAGTTGCTAACAAAAGGCCGAATGGTAACCAGCCTAGGTGGCTGGCGAAATGCTGGATGGCAAAGGGCCAGGTGGTAATCAGTGGCGTAACGCCTATGCGCTCTCATGCGGTGGTCCGCATGGCCCCGAATTCTAGGGGCCCCGAAGGGGCCTTACCCATAGGTTCCTCGATGTAGCATCCTGACCAAAAAGGACTTTGTTGAAAATAACACCATAATGTGTCTCTGAAATCGACTGTAGGGCATATATCTCGGGCCCGGGACCCCACTAAGTTTGTAAAAAAAAAAAAAAAAAATTAAAAATGGAGATAAAAATAAAATTACATTCACAATTTTAAGATTGTGAGTGCAATTTCCGGCCATCTAGACGTGACATAATAACATTTTCTTATCTCAGCCCCACAAAGGCAACATCATAATGTGCGTCTGAAATCGACTGTAGGACATATCATATTATATCCCTTGGCGGAATAATGAGTGAGGGAGGCGGGGAGCTGCCGGCCCGGGGGCAACACTAAATTTGTCAAAATATTTTTTAACTGGAGATAAAACAAAATATATTCACAATTTTATATCTGTGAAGTTCCATTTTCGGCCATCTAAAGGTGTCATAGGCCTATTCATAAATTTTCTTACCTCAGCTCAACTGTGAAAGTAACTCCCTGGCCTCAATTTTCTGGATCCATATTATATCCTTTATTCGTCGTTAAAAATATTTAGAATAACAATGCACATCTAAAATCCCACGATGGAATTGGTGACTAGGACTCAAAAAGGCCCCCTCCCCCAGTTTCAGAAATACACTGTGCCCCCGACCCCATCGTTACACCACTGGTGGTAATGGCCATGTAGCAACAGGCGGAACCAGTTAAACCTAATTTAAATATTATTTAGTATGATATCCAAGCTGCGACCTATATGCTTTTCTAGCTTAAATTTTCTAGTTTGCCCACATGCCAATTTCCATATATAGTATTCAAATGCAGTATGTTCCTATTCGAGCAATAGGCATTGTTATTATTATTATTATTATTATTATTATTATATTATTATTATTATTATTATTATTATTATTATTATTATTATTATTATTGTTATTATTATTATTATTATTATTATTATTATTATTAATTTTATGTATATGTTTATGCCATATTCCATAGTTGTTTGCTTCAAAGCTTAATGTTGTGTAATTTAAAGATCATCAATTTTTACATAATTTTCTCTCTTCAAAGAGCAAGTTGCAAAATATGGTGGAGCTCAAGCATCAAGCTCCGATCAAACAACAGAATCAAGGGTTTGAATATTGTATATTTTTCATAATTAGAAAAATAGTATATTTGTAGAAGAGTAGGCCTATGTGGTAAAACACCCATAGCAATTGAGTTTAATTCAGAGAATTGGTCAAATAATTTATTACTCTAAATATTAGACAGATTTTAAAATAATTTTTCGCGAATTTTAATGAAATTATAAAAATATTCTAATTGATTATCAGCCAATTTAAAATTGTTAAATGACGAGAAAACATCGAACGTTAAATTAAAATATAACGTGCTAATGGAAATGCTAATTTATTCGTATACGTATAAGTAAAAAAAAATTTAAAATACGTATTATATGTTTGGGATCAGGTTTTGTGAACGATTTTAACAATCACCGCCATTTAATTCTCTGGGAAGGATAAAACATTTATATTACGAGTATTCGAATCTGTATCCCAATGTTCGTTTGATATATGCGTGTAATTCTGATTGGTCAACAACCACCATAACATAGGCAAAGGCCTAATTTTAAATCATGTTTCGTGCCATGGAGAGATATTGTTTTCTTTTTATTTATTTATACAGTATTTAAACATTATATTATATTTTTGTACTTTGCTCTACTTTTCAGATGTGATTGAGAAGAAAATGATGAAGCTTAGAAAATGTATTGTCACAGTAGCTATAGAATGTACATAGGCCTACTGTAGTTTTCATGATTTGAATACATTGATGTCCGTTGGTTCAGGTACGGTATATAAGATGTGATAGAGAAGAAAATAAGCTTAGAAAATGTTTGCATTGTATTTTCATTGTAGCTATAGAATGTACATACAGGAGTTTTTATGATTTGAATGTCCGTTGGTTAAATTAAGATGTGATTGAGAAGAAAATAATGAAGCTTAGATGAAAATGTTTGCATATTTTCATTGTGGCTATAGACTGTATGTAAATAGTTTTCATTATTTTACTACATTGATGTCAATGTTGGACATAATTAAAATGATTTTAAAATGCTTTTCAATAATTTGAAAGCTATTAGCGATATCGTAATTTTATAGTAAATGTTCCTAATATTTTTAACAAATTTCTTAATGCTACTTAGTAATAATAGGCCTAATCGTCATTTATGTAGCGTCATTTATGTAGAGCCATTTCCTCGCGGTTGCACAAGAGCGCCTGTTAGGGAGCAGAATCAGTGAACCATAAGAAAAACTACAATTCAGTGTAAAATTATTAATTTGTCATATTTTAAAATGTTGTACCGAACACTTTCAGCAAGTAGTATATAGTCAAATAGTTATGTAATAGTCTTCGTTTTATTTGCTAATATACAAAACATACACTTTAGTATGTTTTGCATGGATTTAGAGAAGACAGTTGCCCTAGGATATAGAGTAAAATAAAATCCCGGCTGTCCAACATCATAATCATCATCACCATGCCGCCGCCACCATTATTTCTCCATCCCATTATTCCTCCAACCGGATTTACTCTTACAACTCACAGGATGCTAGCAGAGTGTCTATACTTGCCAGAAGCGGGCAGTAGACACAAAAATTTTAATCAACTGTATGTGTACTTGCATAAAGACTTACACAAATTTCAGTAACTTAACGACATTGTACACTGGCAATGTCAGAAACCTGCTCAACCTACTGGATCACAGGGATCCATGAGAACACAAGAGTCCAATGTCCTCCTGACTGATGGTATTATTCATAACCAAAGTCAAGGTTGCTTTTCCTTTGCTCACATTATTGTGAGGAGTATAATTAATAAAATTGATCACTTTAGAATATTGTTATCCAAAAATCCATTTGATGTCATCTTTTTAAATGAAACGTTTTGTGACTCATCAATCTCAGCGAACGACGATATTAATCTTCCTGAATATTCCCTTGTAAGGAAAGATATAAATCGCCACGGGGGAGGGCCTGACTTTTAGTCGTCGAGAAAACTTAGAAACAGATGATGTCGAATGCATCCGGGTTGAAATTAAATGCAAAAAAGGCGGCCTATACTTATCTGTTCTATTTATAGACCGCCCTCAAGTTCGATTGCCTTTATTGACAAATTGAATGAAATTATCGAAAAAAGCGTCTTGTGAATGCAAACAAATAATTGTACTTGGTGATTTTAACAATGATATATCAGACGACAAAAATAGTACCAATCTTTCATCCACATGCTTCTATTTGTTTCAAATGACGCAACTCATACACGACCTAACCCGCGTCACTAATTCCATCCAAACCACGATCGATCTTATTGTTAGCTCGAAGCCTGAGGTAATACTTGAATGTGGTGTCTTACCTGTACTCATTAGTCGTTATGTTAATTTTAGATGTTTTAACAACTTAGATAATGAAACTTTCCAACGCGATCCCCTGAATGTCATGGGAAAATGTTCTAACCTGTCACAGGGTTGAGGAGGCATAGAGTCTATGGCACTCTCTATCTATGGGTGTCATTAACCATCACGTTCCGATAAAATCCAAACGCGTTCGAAGTACCTCTTTACATTGGCTTGATGTTGAAATTACCCGACTTATGCGTCAACGCGATCGCACTCATGAAATTGCAAAACAATTTAATTCTCAAAACGATTGGGACGCATACAAAAGACTACGGAATATCGTAACTAACAGCATCCGTAAAAAGAAAAACGAATATTTCACATCATCCATTGAAGCATCAAAGGTAATGCATCAAAGGTGATGAAAAGTTAAAAGAGGCTCTTCCGAATAAACCGAAATCAGTTCCAAATTCTATCACTTCCAAAAATGGAAAAAATGTTAAATATCAAGCCGAAATTGCTGATATATTTAATGAACATTTCTCCACAATTGGAGGACGTATGGCAAGTAGTGACGACGTCACGCGCGAATTCGAAATGGACAATGTCAATTTATCTTTTTCTGAACCAATTCAGTCATGTACTCTGCCTAATATCACGGAAGATTTTGTTCGAAAACAAATCACATCAATGTCGGCTAGCAAAGCAACTGGTCCGGATGGCGTTAGTGTAAAAATGTTGAAGCTTGTTAATATTGGTGGGAAATTGTCAACATCTTTGCTATTAAACACTGGCGTGCCACAAGGATCTATTTTGGGACCACTTTTATTTATTATTTATACCAGTGATTTGCCACCTTGTATCTCTCTAAAAAGTAAACTATTTATGTATGCTGTTGACTTAACGTTAACCTGTTGCTCCTCCAGTGTTAAGGATATTGAAAATAAATTAAATGTAGCATTGGAAATAGTTAACGATTGGGCCATTAGAAACAAACTTACAATTAATTTAAACAAGACTAAATCCATGCTCGTTGGATCCAAAAAGAAAATTTCCAACGTAGACTTTAATGTCACTCTTGCCCATACTGTAATTGTTAGAACGAAATCATTAAGTGTCTTGGTGTCATCATTGACGAAACTTTTGAGTTGGACACTACATGTTGAATTTGTCAAGAAAACAGTTTCATCCAAACTGGGTACTATGTTAATTAGAATAGGTAATTGTGTCCCCAAAGAAGCCTAAACACCCTGTTCGTAAGCTTAGTTAGGCCATCTTTGGACTATTGCTGCACTGTATGTGGAGGTCGTTACATATTCCACAATAACTTACTTAACAAGTGTATAAAAAGAGCAGCTAGGATGGTTTTAAGGTGTGATTTTCTTACCCCATCTGCAGATATGTTTGCACAACTCAGTTGGCTTTCGTTTTCTGAAAGGGTTACGTATAAAAAGCTATACTTGTTGATACATTTATTAAACAATTGACACCTTTATACATGATAAACCTTTTCACACCGTTATTGCAAGCTCTTGAAACGAGACAGTCAACTATTATGAAGTTGAAGGTTCCTTTTTCGAAAAGCGAAAGTTATTCCACGAGTTTTAAGGTGACCGGGGCGAATATATGGAATGACTTAGATATTGATTTGAGAACTGCGACTTCTCTAAACATATTTAAATACAAATTGTACGAGGCACTAATTAAGAAAATATAACCAGTTACGACCATGTGCTTTAAATGCAGGGCCCCAATGGAAATCAGTGTTTTAACTGTTTGGGCTACCCTGGGTAAATAAATGTAAATAAATAAATAAATGAAAAAAGGATATCGCCTCCTTTCCGGCTGATGTCACTGGTTTACCATATTTATAGTTTTACATTTGTTGATATTTCAATATCTAAATAAATCTATGAGAAATAATTGGAGGTCTTCGTTGTTTGGGTCTTTCGTCTTCGTTTTGTAGACACCCATGTAGGGTGTCTATAAAATGAAGACCCTTGAAAATTTCACAAACAGACGCCCAAAAAAATTCGTAATTTTGATTTTGTGACAGCCTGGTGTATTATCATCAAAATAAAAGAGAAAAAATAGGGGTCTTCGTTTTTGGGACTTCGGTCTTCGTTTTATAGACACCCGTTTCGAAGAAGCAAGTTTCCAAAGTTTAATGAACAACCTTTGACAACAAATGTTCCATTTTAACTGCATGAGGTGAGCGACCTTCGGTGGATCATAAAATGAAAAAACTCCGGACTGAACATGGAAGAATATAATTGACTGACTCTGATTTCCGAGTGTCAATGTAATATGGCAATTAACTCAACACTGCCTCATCATCAACCTCATCATCATCATCACCATCGTCAGCACTACCATCATTATTATCATCACCATCACTAACTACCATCACCATTGTTATCTACTCCAAACAATCACAGACACGGGGAGAGTAAATGCGTAAGCAGGCCTTCTGTACACTTATTGTGTATTATACCGTATTCAATTTAAAATCTTGGTACTTTCATCATATTAGCCTACTGGTTAAGTTAAAGATATTTATCATTTTATGCATTACGCAGCTTTTTTAGATATTAGGCATAGTGAATAAAATTTCTATGGTATGCATATTGTGTAGATTTTGTTTATTCCTGTGTTGATAGTTAATTTGCTGATGTATGATTGAGGGAAAGGGAGTATTATGCGTACTCCTTTGTACGGTGATCGTGGATGATTCTCTTTGAGTTCCATTAAAATATCTTAATCAATTGTAGATACGCTATGTAAAATATTATTGGAAGTTTAGTAACCTACCGGTATCATACACTGGCAACGAAAAAAGAGTATATCAAACTCCTTTCCAGATGATGTCACAGTTTTAGCATAGGCATGTCTGTTTTTACTGTTGTTGCTATTTAAATTCCTAAATAATCAATTCTTTAAGTAAATCTATGTAATTTGAAGAGGACATTAAATAAGATTTCAGTATTCTGGACACATTGGTTCATCATAATTATTTATTTTTTATTATTGTTATTAATTTTATTATTTGTTAATATGATTATTAAAATGGTGATAGTGATGATGATGATGATGAGGATGAGGATGATGATGATGATGAGGATGAGGATGATGTCACGGCAATAAAAAATAAATGATCATTTTAGCCTCTTTGTTTTCGCGGTCACTAATGCTTTTAACATGCACGAGAACAGCTAATCAGGAGGCCTGCGGAATAGGGATAGAAAGAGAGGTGGTTGGGGTGGGGGCAGTAGCGGCGCCAGCGCCTGAAATCTGGGGAGAAAATGGGAGGCATGGTATCATTTTTTTAGGGGGTGGGGGGGAGGTCCCTGACGAGAGCAAAGTTTGCGTGGTCGGGCGTCGATTGAAATGTTTCGAAAGTGGTCCAGAGGCGGAGCACCTAAAAATATGACGAGTTAGGGGTTTCAGCGGCTTATTTAATCGATTTTATCTCCTAATATGTAGAAAATACATATAATTTTTTATCTCGACGACAATTGTGGTTTTTCTTCTTTTTTTCTTGGGGAAGGGATATCCCCTTGCCACAACTGGGTGGTGGGTGGGGGGCGCAAAAGAGGGAAAAATACAAATTCATAAATTAGATGTATTACTTAGATATTAAATACCTGCAACTATTTCAAAATGATCGAAGATTGATTTCAAATGGATTGAAGTTGAAGTCGAATAATATGTAAGTCAATATCCACAGACCTACTGTTTCCTCTAAAATACTTTCGACTTTATGCGGGGTGTTTGTTTATAGCCCACTGGACACATACAAGGGAACCCCAAAACATTCTTCTCTTGAACTCCCCTTCGGTCCTCGAATGCCACTCTCGCCACCAACAAAATTCTGTATCCGCCACTATGGCTGTGAATTTTAATTTAGATTCTTTTCTGCAACACTCATGCAGTACTGAACTACCGAATACTTCAGCCAAACACTAAATTGGAACCAGCTTAGGCTATTTTGAATAATTAAATGCAAACCGATTTGTTTACTGCTGTTCATTCTCGTTTTCAATGAGCAATGAATAGGGTGTGAACAGATAGGGGATAGCTTTGGGTGAGTAACGTCAATATCAATATCGAGTAGTACATTACTTATTAAATTATGGATGTTACTGTCCTAATCCAATCCGTACAAAAAATAACATCCAATCACATTTAGGAATTCGTATAAGACTGTTGTAAATGTCTCTTTCAAATATAGGCAGCATGGCTAGTTGCATGATTGTATTGTCTGCAGGCATAAACATGACTTGCATGTCGAATGCTATTTACAGTATAAACAGCAGTCAGTCTTCTTATGTAATTTAAGGAAATTATCAAATCAATCAATCAATCAGTTTTAATCAATCAATCAATCAATAATGATGGTTTAGTTAATATATCTAGTTAATATAATCAATCAATCAAACATTTATCTTAGTTAATATATCTAGTTAATATAATCTAGTTAATATATCTAGTTAATATAATCAATCAATCAATCAATCAATCAAACCTTTTTAGAATTTTAAAATGCATAGGGCCTAGATATTATGATGGCTTAGTTAATACATCTAGTTAATATAATAAATCAATCAATCAAACAAACATTTTTGTTAATATATCTTAGTTAATATATCTAGTTAATATAATCTAGTTAATATATCTAATTAATATAATCAATCAATCAATCAAACATTTTTAGAATTTTAAAATGCATAGGGCCTAGATATATTAACTAAGCCATCATTATTGATTGATTGATTGATTAAAACTGATTGATTGTTTTGATTGATTGATTGATTGATTGATTGATAGATTTCTTAGGGGAAAAAAAAGAAAAGAATACCGTTCCTTAGTCTATCATTTCCACCTGCTATAGGTATATTAGTGTGTATGATGGTTAAGATAACACAAAGGCTGATGCGTATAAATATTAATGTAGACCTACTTAACGCTATGTAGTGCAATAACCTGAAGGAAAATCACTAGTTGAAACACACTTTTCTTAACTAGATACCTCTTGCCTTTATAGTGTAACACTTGTAATAATTGAATTGGGGGATACCTGTTGATGATCACGACACTGGGGCTACTCAGTGTCACGCATTTATAATTATGTGACTCTTATGTCATTGAGGGTTGGGGAAGCTAAGTTACGCCTATAATACAGGCCAGGCCATATACGGTTTATTGCACCATGATATTCATTATCAGGTTATAGAATTATAATGTAGTGTTTACATAATATAAATGTTGAAATGCTGAGTTGCTACAAGTATATATTGCGAGAAAGCACAACAAAAGCGGATCCAGGAATTTTGAAAAGAGGGGAACGGATTTCTCAATAGAGCAAAATGAGAGTCGTTGTAGGAACGGGGCCCGGGGCCGTCATAAAAACAAATCTTATCGCCTGCCCAGAAGTACGCTGTTGCGCATTCTATTAAAAAATCCCTGTGATATTGAATTAGGCTTACTCAATAATGGTATATAGGGCCTAACTCTGCATAGTTTATGCTGTTAAAAAATATTGTAACAGTTTTTTTTTTTTGTTGAAATAAAAAACCGAGGGTGGCAAAGCCGAGAGGGAGTGTTCCCCCGTTCCCCTCTATAAATCCGCTCCTAGACTAACGTATGAAAATATGCTTACGAGACAGTTGAATGAATACTGTCGAACAAACTAATTTCTGGCATCGTTTGCGAGGTTGGCGGGACAATGTACCTCTTTCCGGAGCGTACTACCAAGCTCAACAACTGACAGGCAAAAAGAACTAGGAATACGTGCTTGTCTCACAATGACCTTAGCAATAATTTACAAGGGACAGGGGCTGAGCGGTCTATTAGAGGTAGCCTAATTTTGCAATTCATATTAATTTAAGTCAAATCAAGATATATGCTTCATCTCAGTAAGTTTCACAATAAATAAAAATATATATAACCATTTTTTTTAAATACATATAAGATATATTTTATAAAATAAATCAGAGTACGAAATAAACGGAAATTACTGTGCATGGTATACTAATTTGATTTAATTTAATCGCAGGTATTTTTAATGTAAATTATTTTAATAAGTAGTTTTTATATTTTAAGACGATTTTGTACTGTTTTATGGATGTTTTTGTACCTTAGATCCATGATAAAGAGCGTAAGCTCGAAAGCTTGATAATTAAAGACACGTTTTGTTTCATCCAAGCCTCCGACTATTTCTTTCATCTATCATACCATGAGGCACGTTTCAACAGGCTCTGCATGCAATCAATTTCTTTCAGGCTCTAAATGCAATCAATTTCTTTCGCAAGATAGCCGTTAACACTGTTAAATTATATATAAATCATCAAAGAAAGGTAAATAATATATTTATAATAATAAGGACATAGTCCTGTAAATAGTCCTGACATAGTCCTGTAAATAAATGAATAAAGTAATTGTGTGATAAAATGCCTCTGGCGGGACTCGAACCTGCGACCTCTCGCTGTCAAGGCGAGCGTCATAACCATTAGAGCACGGAGGCTTCATGGTTGAACAGATTCAAATACCACCAGATACACTCCATTACACGCTAGTTACGGCTAGATACAAACGGTTGCACATAATATAAGTCAAGATAGCCGTTAACACTGTTAAATTACATATAAATCATCAAAGAAAGGTAAATAAAGGACATAATAATACATCGTGTAGCATAGCTCTCAACGAATGTAGTCCTGTAAATAAATGAATAAAGAAATTGTGTAATAAAATGCCTCTGGCGGGACTCGAACCTGCAACCTCTCGCTGTCGAGCGTCATAACTATTTGATAAGAGCATGCGTTTTTTATGTTCACAGCAGAAGAGATCCCCATAGATGACTTGGTCACAGAGGCAAAGGTGTATATATGTGTGTGTGTGTGTGTGTGTGTGTGTATGTGTGTAATGTCCATGAGGGACCCTTCCATAGGAAGAAGCGTACTATCAGTTTAATTGTTAAACTTATTTTACAGGGGTCCCAAGTCTCCCGGAACTGCCGGGAGTCTCCCTGAAATCGCAAGCCAGCAAGAATCTCCCGCGGAATTAACCCATCTCTGCAAATTCATAATTGTGCATGTTTTCACTGTTTTATTTTCAAGGTCATAGCAGATGGGTATCACTGTGAAGCAAAATTAAATGAAATATGTTAGGAAAGCTCACTAACCAGATCAGTGGCAGATTCAAGGGAGGGGGAAGCCGTCCCTTGCCCCTAAATATTTCAAAATTATGAAAAAATTGAGTAGAAAAGAAAATTATATTAAAATCCTGAGAGGGCCATTCCGGCTACCTCGAGGTGCTGTAATCATACATCTTCTTACTATGAGCACCAACCATAGTGAGGCTGATATTGGTGTAGACCCTCCATCTGTAAAAGTCCATCTCTTCCCCCACCCTTTGAGCTGCCTCCGCAGATCTCCCAGAAATTAGGTGATGTGTTCGCTTCTGCTAGGCTTTATACCGAGTTTAATTGTGGTTAATTCTTGGTTTATTTATGGCAGACAGACGAAATTGGTATACCCCCATGGACAAATCTACCAAGTGATGAAGACATACAGGTCTACCTAATAGAGCACGAAGATTGAAGGGCGAT